TTAATGAATAGAATGATTTGTTCTAGTGGTGTTTGTAAATAGTATATCAAGTCCGCATCTTGTACAGCAATTAACCACTAAGAAGAATGTGTGCAGTATGTTAGTTATTGAAACTGTCCTAGCGATTTGATTTGAAACTGTCTCATTGCTATTTGTTTTTCAATAAAATTATGGAAAAAAAAAAGAATTCCATTAGGTCAGAGTTCTGAAGGCTGAAGGTCCAATGACGCTGGCAAGGACCTGTCAAAACCCTGGCAGCACCGGGTCACAGTGGACAGCGTCACACAGATGCCCAAGCCAGGGAGCGATTGCATGGCAAGGCAGCAAACTGGAGAGCAGGGACAGACAGGCTTGCCACCACTAGACTTCATCTCTCAAACACCACACCACTTCTTAACACTACTATACCAAGGACCAAACTTCAGATGCCTGAAACTCAGGGAACACACTCAAACCTTACCTAGAGCATCCCCTATCATCCTGTGGCCTCAGATGGGGTCTTGTTCCCAGCCAGAACAAATGTGATAACAGCTACTTTCACTTGGAAGTTCCTTGCTGAAGGGATAATACTTCTTTCATGCGGCCCTTAAAATCTACTTTTGGCTTGAGAGATAGTTCGGTGTCATAAGTGCCTGCCTTGCAAGTGTAGCGACCTGGATTCGATCCCCAACAACACATGCCACGCTTGCCCTGGAATCGCAGGCACGCTGTGGGGGCCATGAAACAGGGCATGGTAACCCATGCCTGTAATCCTAGCACTGGGGAAGCTAAGACAGGAAAATCACTATAGAGTTCAAACTGCATAGGGAGATCCTGTATCAACAAACAAAAGCAAAAACAAAACAAAACAAAAATCTACTCTCCACGAAGCTCACTTTCTCCTAAATTTCAGTACATCCCCACCTTCTCCGGATCTGTTTTCATTTGTTGTTCTCCTGTCTGAAGTCACCCTCGCATCTCTCGCAGGCTATGTTGTGCTGATTAATTTTTCAATTAGAAATATACAATGAGCAGTAGTTCTCAACCAGAGCGGGGCAGCGGTTGCAAGAGGACAGGTTTTGCCTGTCAGAGGGTTCTGGCAATGCCAAGAGTGGGTTTTCAGATGTCACACTTGTGGGTTAATAGTGACACCTGGTGGATATAAACAAGGATGCTGCTTAAATGTCCTACAACAAAAAATTAGGCAGCCCAAAATGTCAATACAGCCATGGTGAGAAATTCACACTTGTATCATTTCTTGGAAGAATTATTGACAGTGAGTGATTATTTTGTTTATTTGTTTTGTTTTATTGTTTTGGTGTCAGGTATTGAACTTAGGGCCTTGCCAGACAAGCACTGTGCTGCTGAGCTATAATTTTGAGTGATTATTCTGAAGGACTATTTTGAGGAATATTTACCTACCTTGTTTTGGTTTCCCATGCAGGTTTCATGTTGGTTGTCATATTTCACGTTTTCTTCCCCTTTCGTCCAGTTATTGTGTCTAACATCTTAATGAAATGCATTCAAAAGATAATAAAACTAACTCTCTCAAAAGTGTATCTAGTCCTATCTGTTAGAAAATGATATTCAAATCCTTTCTATCAAGATATTCAATGCTCACTTAATAGTCAGGTGTTTGTTTCTTCTCAATCCTGAAAGTGTATATTCCTTGGGAATTTTTTAACAGATAGGTGGTTTTTATTAATTAAAATTCTTAAACTGTAAGAGTAGATAACCAAGATTTTTTCCTCTTCATTTTTAAAGCTTCTTCCTTAATTACAATTCACTTAAACTTCAAAAAACAAAGACTACATATTAACCAAAATGCAAATAAGGGGAAAAAAGGGAAAAAGTACAGACACAGAAGAGAAAAAAGTATTGATGTACTAGAAAATTTTGCAAACTTTAGACTGCTGTTAAATTTTGCTGCATTCTTCATCAGAAGGAAATTCTGGGTTTATTTTTCAATGTCAAATAAATCTTTCAATACCTCTTCTAAAATGTGTTTTCCCACTTTAGATAAACACTGGGTAACCTACAGGCCCACCACGCACACTGCCGCTCTACCCTCCGGCCAGACCATCTGTGCTTGCTGAGCATGCCCCCACCTTGGGGTCTTTGCTGCCTTGGGGTAGTGGCTCCAGTCTTTGGAGTGCCCGTGACCCCTCAGCCCCTGGTGTTTTGGCTCTTGAATGTTACACCGTTGGAGGCTTCTAGCCACCCCACCAACTCCTCAGCAGCAGAGGTCTGAAGCCCCTTTGTTGGCTACCTGGAGCTTTTCCAGCAGCTTCTGCCACCTCTTTGGGGTGCTTTGCAGGTCAGCATTAAATGACCCAGTCCATAGTACCAGTCTCTGCTGGTGATTTCTGGACTTCTTCAGGGCTGACAGCACCTGGTGTTGCCATTTCTGTTTAAGTGGCTGGCTGTATTCACACTACCCAGGAGAACAATCTGCAGGAGGAATGCTTTCTGGGCACCTGTGCTGTAGCGTATGGGGTCCTTATACCAGAGGAAGCCCTCATCAACTAAACAGAGGAATGTAAGGAAGCTCCCTTCACAGAGCAGGAGTAGGCTGCACATAAGCAGTCTTGTATATGGGATGGAACTTGGTTGTTGTTTTTTTGTTTGTTTGTTTGTTTTTTTGTTTTTTTTTTTAACCTGGAATCAAACTCAGGACCTTATGCTTGCTAGGCAGGTGCTTGTGCCACTGAGATATAACCCGAAACCTTATGATGGAGGTTTTTAAGGACTTTCATAGTAATGGCCCACTAGGTTCAGCAGGAGTGATTGCAGGCCAGAGTCACCTGGGAAGGTCTGTGTTCCAAGCCTGTTGTCAGGAAAGCAAATATCTCCCAGAGCTTTGGCAGGATGACTAAGTTTGACTAACAAGTAGCTTCTTGATTGACAGCGCCCATGTTTCTGGGGAAAGGGAAGCAGAACCAAGACTGCTTCTGCTTCCCTGGGGTCTCCAGGAAAGCCAGCCACACTGACTGTGGCCTGTTGCAATGTGGGAACTCCAGGGACGTCCCCAGTCCCCAGTCCTCCCAATCTTTGCAATATCAGGAGTGGTCTCCCTGCCCCTCCTCAGAGAAGTGGCCCAGCAAAGGGGAGGGCATTGCAGCCACAGTCCCTGAAAAAGGCTCCTGACAGCCAGGCCTGGGTAGCAGGGGCCAAGGTGACCAAAGATCTGGACAAAGGGGTGAGATACAAAGGAAAATCCGGCCCAACTCTTCCTTTTCCTTTGCTCAACTGCATGTCTCAGTAAAATCCTCCCTCACCACCATATTTGTAATTCACCCCACAACTCCAACCTGCCTATGCCTTTTCTCCAGAGCACCACCTGATATCTATTACATTTGACTCATTAACTTTCTCTCCTCACACTATAAATTAATTCCACAAAGGAAAGGGCCCTGTCTGCATTATACGGCATGTTGTTATACTGACAATATTTTTAACAAATTTTGGCTCTTAGCAGTTCTTCAAAAACATTCTGTTCAGTGTGTAAATGAGTAAATGAGTTCAGAGAGCACAAAAACGCTTCATATGGGGACTTTGTCGTTTTCTCCTAGGTTTCCTACACCATTACGGCCACTTCCTCACGAAAATCCGGACCTTGTTAAGCACAGCACCGTGGGCAACCACTTTAAAGCGACAAAAAGAAAACAGCACAGGTGTACGACGCTGCGGTGTTACTGCTGAATCCAAAGAGTGGAGTGGAAGAGGGCCTTGCGTTTCCCTTCAGGATGTCAAAAGCTGGAAAGAGCATCGCGGCTAATATTCCCACAAAAAGAGTGCAGAGTGGAGCACAGAGGTGCAAACCTCTAGCGCTAGCGCTCTGGGAAGCTGAGCCATGAGGATTCCAAGTTTGAGTCCAGCTTGGCAGCTTGACGACACGTCAAGAACTTGTTTCAAAAATAAAGAAAAGTGTGCGGACTACAGCTCAGTGTGAAGCTGGATTCAATTTCCGGTATCACACGAACAGATTACTTGATCAGTCAATCAATCTCCTGTCTTACTTGTTTAATCCAAAGCGCCACCCCAGCAGCCCTATTCCGTGAGGCAGGACCAGAGCCCAGCTCAAGGGGCAGCGGCCGCCCAGGAGCCTGCGTTGCACAGAGGCCGCCCAGGGCTCCCGCCCTCTTGCTCCCGGACCCGCGCGCCGAATTTCGAATTCGGGCTCAGCGCTCTTTGCTCCCTCAGCTCGCTTTGCACACAGGCGGCGGTGCAGCCGCTGAGCTTGGGGGTCGGGCCCGCCCCTTCCAGAGACCCCAGCTGTGCTTTGGAGGCTGCGCAGGGCGCGCGGTGGAGCCAACGTCTGCGCCCCTGGCGGGCGTCTGTGCGCACGCCCGGCTCACGTCAGTCTCCATCTGGTGCGGAGCCCGGCCGCTCCCGGTGCTCCGGAGGCGCGGGAACCCTGGGCTCATCGCCCGCGCCCCTTCCCAGGCCTCTACTGACTGCCATTCTCTCCTTGGCAGCCACAGGAGGTTTCGCCTTCTCCTGGCTTCACATTTGTCTCCATTGCCATTTTGTATTTCTGATTCCTGGCACCAAGTTCTGATTCACACGTTGTTCTTAGCAAAAGAACAAAATTAACTAATAATACATGTTGCCTTTTCAGATGTCATCGCCGCTCTTTTTAACTTCCCAGAGACAATTAGAAATTCAGTAAAACTTGAGCAGACCAACTTCACGTGATACCTAATTGTGCGTAACTCCCAGAGTCAAGCACCTGGGACCTGACTGGATCTTTGGATCTCACTGCTGCAGTCCCAGAGCCTGAGCTGGCCTCCTCCTCCACACACAGGGCCAGTAGAGAGCAGGGAGCAAAGGCCCATGAGGCCAGGGGCGAGCAGGCACCCATCTGGGGAAGCAGCGGTCAGCAAAGGCCAGTCCTACCTAGATTCCTAGTCTGGGCCGTGGCAATCCAAGATAGAGATTCAGAATCCAAACAGAGTCCAACTCAGGACATAAACCAAGATGGACAGGGCTGCTGAACCAGGAGAAATGTGTGGAGCCCTTCTCTGGCAGAATGGGACTGGCAGGAGTTCCCTCATGTGGAATTTGTGTGGTTTTCATGGTAGGCCTATAAATAATGGTAGCAGATAGTCTATGCTGGATTTATCCATTCAACTAATGTTTCTGATATGTACCTGACATACAGAGGTGAAAAAACAGAATCAGAACAAGGTCATTGTGTGTGTGTGTGTGTGTGTGTGTGTGTGTCTGTGTGTTTAGTACAGGGTCCACAGGGTCTCACTGTGTAGATTGGACTCAATTTGATCTGCCTGTGTTCAGTCTCCCAGGATCTGGGATTTACAGGTGCGTGCCACCACGCCCATTCTCAATCTCCCTCTCAGCGCAGGGCGGGCGCGGTGCCGGCACTACACACTGGCGATGCAACCCCGGCCTATGTGTCTGCCTAAGCAGGCACTTCAATCCACTGAGCTATTTGACTGGTCGGAGGTCATTCTTTTCTTGGGGTTTATATTTTAATGGAGGAAATAGACAACAGTAGGTAAGTACTATAATCCAGAAAGTGATAAGAACTCTAAGGAAAATAAAACAGTACAGTATAATGGAATTAGAAAGTAAACCAAATTCAAGGTGGCTAACTAGGTAGGGAATGTTTGACCTTAGTTACTGGAGAGCCAGTTATGCAAGAATTCACAGCAGAACACTTTTGGGAGAATAAGAACAGGTGAGGGCTGGTGAGATAACTCAGCGGTCTAAACTGCCTGCTTAGGCAAGCTTAGGCAAGCACACAGGAAGCGCAGTTACATCCCTGGCACCACGTGCTGCACCAGCTCTGCCCCCAGGGTGGGCTCAGCCAGCTGCAAAAACAAACACACACACACACACACACACACACACACACACACACACTCTATCTATCTATCTATCTATCTATCTATGAAAAAGCCCCTAGACTTCATACACTAGAGCCAGGAGCCAGGTCAGTGTGCCTTAGTCTCAGAGAATGAGCAGGAAAATAGCAGGACAGAGTGGACAGGTAGACAAAGCTAGGGCACTTGAGGCACATAGCAAGGGCAGAATTTATATCTAAAGTGTCAGAAGGCCATTGGGAGATTAACCACTGGGTTTATTTAAGCAGGAGAGTTATACAATCTGGCTATGTTTTTAGAAGTTTACTGGTGCTGTGTGGAAATCAGATCATACAGAGCAGGCATGGGAGCAGAGAGCCCACATTTCTGCAAGGCTTACATGGAAGATAGTGGTTTACACTAGGAAAATAATTCTCCTCCAGCTATGGTTGTGCTTCTCTGCTGCAGTCAGAGTAAAGTTTCTTGAAAGAGTGGTCTGCACTCTCCGTGTTAGATTCTTTCTCAGGCAGGCTCTCCCCCACAGTTTAGAAAGATGGCTAGGAACAAATGCAAGCTTATATTTTACCAGCTTAATATGTTTTAGAGGTAAGACAGATAGATCTGCAAGGTTCCATTTCAATGAAGTTAGACTTTATTTAGACTATCTCAATAGGGTTCCTTCCCACAGAACTGGGAGAGAGTTGTGCTGCTTCCTGCCAGACTGGATGAGCTGAGAGTGGAGTGAGAAGTGATGCTGATGACGAAAATCACAAGATGGGAGCTGGGGTTTCTGCTGTCTACAACTGACAAGTACAAGGCAGAGATGTCCTCAGCACTGGAGTATAGACCCCTCCCAAGTCACCTCCATGGCACTTACTGGGAGCACTGTGTTGTAATTGGCTGTTTCCTTTTAATGCTATAAGTTTCATATAATCTTTCCTTATAAGTTCTCTTTTCCATCTTGCATGATGGCAGGTGAAAAAACTGAGAAGCCAGATACTAAAGAGAAGAAACCCAAAGCCCAGAAGGCTTCTGCCAGTTGCACTGATAAAAAGGGTAAAATGAAGGTCAAAAAAAGTCCAAGAAGGGAAAGCCCCAACTGCAGCCAAAATCCTGTCCTGGTTAGAGGAATTGGTAGAAACTCCTGATCTGCTACATATTCCAGAAAGGCTTTGTGCAAGAGAATACACAGCTGCTAAATCAAAGGCTGAGAAGAAAAAGGTGGAAGTTCTTGTTACGATCACAAATCTAGTCAGAGGGGACAAGAATGGATGTAAATGGGAGGTTAAACTTCCAAAAATGCCTAGATACTACCCTACTGAAGATGTGCCCCAAAAGTTCTTGATCCATGGCAAGAAACCCTTCAGTCAGCATGTGAGGAAACTCTGAGCTAGCATCACTCCCGACACCATCTTGGTCATCCTCACCAGGCATCCCAGAGTCAAGAGAGTGATCTTCCTGAAGCAGCTGGCCAGTGGCTTGCTACTTGTGGCTAGGCCTCTTAGTCTTAATCGTGTTCCTCTAGGAAGAACACACCAGAAATTTGTCATTGTCACCTCTGCAAAAATTGGTATCAGCAAAGTAAAAATCCCCCAAACACCTCACTGATGCTTACTTCAAGAAGAAGAAGCTGTGGAAACCAAGGAACCAGGAGGGCGAGATGTTCAACACCAAGAAAGAGAGACACCAGATTTCAGAGCAGCACAAGGTGGATCAGAAAGCAGTGGATTCACAGATTTTTAGCAAAAATCAAAGCTGTTCCTCAGCTCCAGGGCTACCTGTGATCCATTTTTGCTCTCACAAATTGAATTTATCCTCATAAATTAGTGTTTTAAATTTCTTACTAAGAACCTAATTAAATAACTGATACATTAAAAAAAAAATCTTTCCTTCTAAATTATGTATAAGCAACCCTGTATCTTATTCACAGTTGTGTTGCTAGAGTTACTGCAATATTGTATGAAAAGTCTCTCAGGAGTGAAAACATATATCCTATTCCTGCCTTTCCCCTCATCATCCTGGGTTCAGAAACAACATTGCTAGGGGGCTTTGCACAGACAACTGTGTCTTTTACAACAGGTGTTGCACAGATATTTCTGGAAAACAATGAGTTAGTACTAAGTATCAACCTTTATTGTTGCCCATGGTCTCTTCAGGTAACAGGAAGCCTCGGGAAGCTTCCCTTTCCCTTTCTCCACCTTTACTTCAATCTCTGTTGCTCTCCTCTCTCAAACTCACATGCTTTCCTGTGGTTGGCACACCGATTCCTGTCTATTTCTGTGCTTTTTGTCCCCGTGGAAGTGTTTGTGTGTTGTCTTTCTTCCTTTTTTCTGCAAAAACAATACATTTAGTTGGCTTCTCTAACCCCTCCAGTGCACATCCTTTTCTTTCATGTTTTTCCTTCATTTCTCAAAGTACAGAAATGGAATTTTTACACTAATTATTGAATGTATCTTTACTTATTATTCCTAACTTTCATGGCTTAATGACTGCAAAAAGGAAATAGGAAGCCTATTACACAGAGCCCTCCTTTCTTTCTAGAACTGATTTGGCAAAAATTAATGAGAATTTAAATCAAATATTTCAGGGCTATAATTGTTTATAAAGGAATCTCTAGAATAAAGTCATGGGAGTGTAGTTCTTTAAGATCAAAGACGAAATCCTATTGGTTGACATGCAAAGAATGGTATTTAAGGTTTGAAAAGTAGTTTCTATTTCTTCAAATATTAAAAAAGATTTTAAGTTTTACAGTGAAATTCCTAAGGACACCTTGAAGTCTGTTGTTCAAGTTAGAATGTCCTTTAAAGCAGAATTTACTCCAGAAACACTGATCTGTTTGATATTAAAGATACAACTGAGTAACAGCTTGAATTTCTTACCACAAAACCCAGGTTCACTCTTTATTAGCCTATGTGAAGCATTTGAAAAGCCAACATGAAGATGCTCTGAAGTGCTTGGAACTAGCACAAGAAATAATCCAGAGGGTGCACTCAGACAAGAAGGAAGTTCAAAGTCAAGTCACTTGGGGAAATTACACCTGGGCATTTTATCACAGGGACCAGCTTTAAGAAGCTCAGATCTACATAGACAAGGTAGGACATGTCTGTGAGCAATGGGCTGGACCTTCTAACTACAAGTTGGAGCATTCTGAGACTGGCTGAGAGAAAGGATAGGCACTCTTGAAATTTGGAAGAAATTATTACCAAAAGTTAAAGCAGTTTTTTAAAAAAGTTATTTGTTTATTTGGTAAAGGGTCTCACTATGCAGCTTGAACTAGTAACGAAACTCCTGTGTCAGTCTCCCCAGTTCTGGGATTATAGGTATATGCCACCATGCCCAGGGTTCTGGGGCTGGCACAGCATGCAGTACTGGGGATCAAACCCAGGTCCTTGCACTTGCTAGGCAGGCACTTAGACCACTGAGCTATCTCCCCAGCCTATTAAAGCAGCTCTGAGAAGGCTCTGGAAATAGAACCTGACAACCCAGATTTTGCTTCAGTTCTGCCATCAAAGTATCTTGGTTGGATGATTCCACAGAGAAGGATCTGTGAAGATCTCTTTGGGTGCTCTGAGGAAGGCTGTTACTCCCAGCCCAGGTGACACCTACATTAAGGTTTTACAGGCACAGAAGCTTCAAGATGCACATGCAGAAGCTAAAGGGGAAAAATAAGTGAAGAAATCCTAGATCAGATATCATCCCAGCCCTATGTACCTCATCATGCAATCAAGTTCTATGGGAAAAAAAAAAATCCCTGGAGAAAAGCTCTTGAACTTCTACAAAAGGCTTTGGAGGTAACACCAACCTTTTCTTTCTGTATCACTAGATGAGACTTTGTTGCAGGGCACAAATGATCCCAATCAAGAAGGCGACACACAGCAGACCTAAAGGAAACGCTAAAGTGAAGGTTGACTGTGTCGATATGGACCTCACCAGCGTGCATGCAGAGCAAGAGCAGCATCCCGGGGCTGGACATTTTCCAGAAAGCCCCTCATCTGGAGAACGTAATGGATGATTAAAAGCATCATGTCCATTCACTATGGACGCTTTCAGGAATTTCGTGATTAAACCATAACATACTGCCATCCACCACTATTCTGAGGCTTTAAGGATCAAAGGCAGGTCATCTGGGAAGGTAACTAAGAAGTGCTCAGAAAAAGACTGGCTACAAGGGACTTGACCCAATGCTTTGACGTGCAGAGTTTGAGTGCCCTGGGATTTGTTCAGGAGCTGGAGGGAGGAAAGAGGCGAGGTACTGAGCACTGCGGAAAAGCTGCAAAGGTGCAACCTGAAAGTGCGGAATTCCTTATTACTCTCTGTGCCCTTCAACTTTCTGTCTAAATCCAAACTCTAGGAAATTAGTTCTGTTCTTTGCTCATTTGGGGTTTTCATATTTTTATTAATTAAATCCATGGAGCCTGTATGTCTTGAATAGTTATTGTATATCAAATCTTAGGCTAATAGTTGTATATATTATGGTAATTGTTTTGCTGTTTTTTCTCTTCTTTTTAGTGAAAATATTTTTTTTTTTGTTTTTGAGATCCTTTTATTTTTTAAAGGACTGTTTTAAAATTTTAAACTACAAAACAGACTCCATACACTCTGCCATAAATAAAAACAAACGATAAGGCAGGACTCTACATAAGCAAACTGAGAACAACTGTTTTTCAGAAAATGTGATAAAATGCTTTACAATCATAAGCCATCCAGTTTTTAAAATAAAACTGTGGAAAACTCACAAATCTTCAAGCGGCACAGACAACACACCCTTGAAGAGGGGACAAAAGGTGGTTCTGCCGTTCTGTACTGTTCTCATAGTGTGGAAACCCTAATCCTGCGTAGAGCATAGGTCTGTTCCATATTCTAAAATTCTCACAGGTTTTTTCAAGAACCATATGATAGAGGCACCAATGACGATACAGCTTTGCTTCCAAGACCCTTGTAACAAAGCGCTGTCTCTTAAACATACGACTTCGGAGGCAAAAGCGGGTCCTGCTCGTTTCCCGGGCGCGGGGGCCGGCCTCACCGGATCCGCTTCTGTTGCCGCGCTCTGTAGATGTCATGCGCCGGGGGCACCACGGCGCCCTTCTCCTCGTCCTCGTTGGGCCTCTTGACGGCCTTGGCTAGCACCGCGTTGCTCTCCACCGGGCCGTTGCCCTCCACGGCCAGCTCGGGGGCGCCCCCAGTGATGATCCGCACAGCCTCCTCCACAGTGTTGGGTATCTTGCATCTTCGGAAAATTTCCATCAGTTTATCCACTTGGACAAAAGGACCCTGGAAACAGATAGGCGGAGGGAGAAGTTTCATCAGAACCACAGCTGCGGGCGGCACGGGAAACACTCCACCAGGGACAGGGTGCAGGCCGGGTGGTGCTAAGTGCCGTGGCTGGAATGGAATCATCTGCTGGGTGTCTGGTTTAGGGTACTCTGGTTTTCTCTCCACTTCATCTTTCAGAACAGGCACTATAGAAGGAGCTACCACTGGATCTGGAATTATAGCTGCTAACTTAGCCCGGGAGACATCCTTGTAACCCAGCGCTTTTAGTTCACTTGCAGAACAAGGGTACAGATCCATGAACTTGTATCTGTCTACCAGTAAAGCCGTTTCTTTGCCTTCATACTCTTCTTTGAATGCTGTAAACCGTCTTTTCTCCACTTTAAGTATACTAGCTAGATCACCAATATTACTTTCAAAAGCTAAAAATCGGGCCCATATTTCCCCGGACTTCTCGGGAGGAAGGCTTCCAGATGTTAGAACTCGTTCAAATAAAACTCGTGTATTATTGTCCTCATTGAGGTGAGAGAGATAGTCAATATAGGCCAGGACATACTCTGGAATGTCTCCGTATTTCTTCAGTCCCAGTTCAAAAATCTTAAAGGCAACAGATTTGTCCAAGGTGGGGTCGATGTCCTCGATGGCCAGAAGTCTGTTATATATGCTGTGAACCTTCTTGTACTTCATGCGACTCTCTTCATAATCTGCATATGCAAAATAAAGAAGCATATTCTTCTTCAATAAAGTGCTTATGGCTCTTTCATATATATTAGCAGCTTCATCACTAAATAATTTGGCATTATTCATATCTCCCTTCTCTGCAAGCAGCTTACTTGACTGCTCCAGGTACTGGGCAGCTTCATACCAAATATCAGGATGATGACCCAGCACAAGCAGGCACTGTTCATAAGCAAACATAACTCTTTTTGTTATAAGGGTCTGGTCCTCTGTGCGAAGAGGGTTGCTCTTTTCCCACTGTATATATTTTTTCCACATGTCTACTTGCTGAGCTTCTTGAGGAGTATTCTGAGGAGGCACTGAAGGGGCATTGCGATCCAAACCTTTCATTACTGTCTCATATTCCTTTGCTACACGCCTAGCATTCATGTAGTCTCTACTCCGATCTTCAATCATTTTCTTAGCTAAGTGAATGTTGATACCCTCTTCATATTTGTTATAGTCTCTCCATAGCTGTTCAGTGTTGATCATGGGATTAACACAGCCTCGCTGATAAACTCTTCGGACAGCTGTTATTCTCTGGTTTTCTGCATAAGATCCAACTGCTTCCACGCCTTTTAAGAAGTTGATATAATCCACCCAAATCTGATAGGACATAATTTCCATTCCGATTTTATCCAGTGCAAAGTCATAAGCTTGAGCCATTTTCTCTTTGTAACTTGGTAGTTTACCCTTGGTTTCTCAGACATACGAAAGATAACACTTCCATAAATCAATGTGCAAAACCTTCATAAGGCATCTCTGAAATAGCTTTTCAACTTTGTCATAATTTTTAGCTTTAATCTCTGCTTCAATGTATAGTTTCCAGAATCTGCCAGAACTGGGGAACTGGGCAACAAGGCGCTCGTAAGTCTTCCGTGCTTTGTCTATAGGTTGATTCTAAAATTGAAAACCAATAAACAGCATTTACAATGTTAGGATTATGAAAATATCATTTACTGCAGAACCAAGTAGTGTGATTGGACCCATAGAGAAGGAAATGTAATCCTATATCACTAAACCTGTGCCTCTCGAATGAGAATGCTCCAAGCATCAAGGTCATATGGATTCTCTTCTAATTTCTTTTCAGCTTTCTTCACCTTCTCTGGGACATATTCAGCTGCCTGCTCTGTGGCTGCGTCGCCTGACATGGCCTCACAGGACTATAACGTGCGCAGTAGCCGGCGTCGGGAAGCAACCGCCGCCGCCCACTCAGCTATGAATTAAAATGGCTGCCTAGTGAAAATATTATAATCCATTGAGAAACCTCCACAATCTAGTTGTTGCAATTTTTAAATTACAACTGACTCTATACCCTTTATCTGTCTTGGCTATTTACAATTAGTTTTCTAGTTAAATCTGGTCAAATTTCCCAAATTATCCATAATATGATATAATTCTACATAAAAATGACTTAAACTCTTAACTATAGCTTGCAAAGGATTAGAATGTTCCAGTTACAGCTGCTTTGACTTTAACAAGTATAGTTAACTGTCAACCTGATAAGTTACGTAAAAAATCGTCTTTGTTAGGAAAAAAATAATAGTGAAAAGTCATCTCTAGAGGAAAAAGTAGGACAGGAGAAAGAAAATTTTTTTTTCAAATTCTAAATGACGCAGAATTTAAACAATCCTCCAGAGCTCTTCCATTGTGTTTATTAAGAAGTTCAAAATTATGACAAAAATGAATAATGGACAATATTAATCTTGTTTTACAATTTTTTAACTAGAAAAATTAACCAACACTGACCTTAGAGGAAATCAGTCATATTCTTTCCAGTTAAAATTGCTGTGTTTTTTTATGAAAATCATTGAGTAAAAAGTAGATTAAGAGTTTAACAGAATGCATAAATAGGTAAAATTGGACTTCCTAAACTGTATCATCAGATTACCAAGATTTTCATGTATTAGCGATAGTTTGACGAGGTGGAGTTCTCTTACTTCTACTTTCTGACCTTTGGGTAACTTTTATTTTTACAAAGTGACTTCTGTGAAGTTTTTTCTTCTGTCCAAAGTTTTCATATTGTTATGTTTTCCTGTAGATGCTCAAGGAATAGTTAAGTTCTGTTTTTAATTCAGAGTTAGTGTCTGTCATGAGGGATCTTTTTTCTTTTTTGAAAAAAAAATGTGCTAAAGTGAATAAAAGAACAAAAAAAAGATACATAATTTAAAAACAAGAGAATAGGAAATTAACAGTGGTTATTATATTGCATATTGCTATCATCAAAGTAGTTGCTCAGATCATTTTTGAGGACTCCTATTCTGAAGAACTCATTATTTTATTTTTATTTTTTTAATTTTTTTTTCTTTTTTTGTTTTCCTTTTTTTCATAATTTTATTGATAAACAAACAGCAATGACACAGTTTCAAATCAAATCGCTAGGACAGTTTCAATAATTAACACACTACATACATTCTTCTTAGTGGTTAATTGCTGTACAAGATGCGGACATGATATCCTATTTACAAACACCATTAGAACAAATCACTCTATTCATTAAGAGA